AGATATAAATATTCACAAAATAATTCTTCATTGCGAGAGCTTTTGTCAATAATGCTTTCTTGTGGTTTTGCTGCATGAAATGTCAAATACACGGTTGCTTTTGCAGGATATATCTTGGCTTTCAACTTTCCTATTTGAAGGGCATATCTAATTATTTTTAAGCCTTTTCCTTCAGTTGTGTTCAGACATGCGGCGCGATAGTTGTAGTAATTTAAATGTCCAAAATTGAGAAATATGTCAAAATGTGTGAAGGAAAACATAAAAAGAGTTTATTTTTACTGTCTTTATGATTTATTTGTTAGATTGGAATTTTTAAGGCAATGTATAATTTCCTTTTTCTAACTTATGTAATATGTTTTCATGTGTCAGTGATTACAGATGGAAATTAGCTTTGAGACCTGGAATCTGACATAAAATATATTTTCCTTTCAGATTATTGTTCATATACATGGTCCCTGTTAGGGATAAACTAATTGAACAAACAATCTCATGATATTGGACAGCACAATCTAAAGTTCCTGAAGCGCGCTGAGAGCTAAGGAATGACACGTAGACGACCCTAAAGAAAAGCAGATGTCAAAGTCTCCAGAGAGATTTATATGCAGAGCAGCAGGTTGGTGACCTTGCAAACCAAAGGAAGAGGAGCTCAAATTTTTTCACAGATTATCTGACTCAGACTATGTTGCCACAACATAGACAGTTCTAACTAATATGTAAAAACATATATTTTATAAAAGTTACATGTCAGGATCAGAGTTCTCTGAAGCTATGCAGGAGTGAATGAATGCAAAAAACCTTGGAGCATTCAAGCAAAGGTTGGAATTGTCCTCCATTCTGCTACTCTGATGTGCATGAAGCAGCTCACTATCATCCAATAAGTTTCTCAACAGGCTACTTTACATTAGGGAGCTATGAAGTCTCACCTTTCCCCACATTCCCACTTTTACTAAAGAGAGTTTTGTTGCTCTTCGGTGGCTTTGCATTCTTCAGGTACATTAGCAGATGTTTTTTCAACTAACTGATAAAGCATAAAAAAATAGAAATGATGGTAAAATGACAGATTTTTTATTGCTATCAACTTTATGCTCATAAACAACACCCATGGTGGCCTCTGTGGTCTGGCAAACATCCGTTTGTAGCCATAACATGAAATGTGTCCACTTCCCTCAGGTTTTTTTTTTTTTTTTTTATTTGCTTAATTCTAACATTCCAATTGTTTTATAAGTCTTTGGAAAAAAAGTGTTTCTAACACATGGTGTTTTAGGAGAAGTCCAGCCTCTTGTCCTGTTTACTTCCATGGAGATTACACATGTTTCCAGGGAAGCTGATGTTTGGGTCTGTACTGTGTAATAAAACACCACACATCCATTTGACATGTCCACATTTCAAAAGAGTTATTAAAGAAAAGCCTCTGTTTTGTTGTATGTATTACACAGTGAGAAGCTTCCAGACGGTGTGTGTAACTCAAAAAGATCTCTTCTGTGTTAGAAAAGTGCATTTTAAAATTATTTAATCCACTTCTACAAACAGTAAAAAGGCAATTTGTATTATGTTGATGTTTCACACTTTTTTTTAGCTCTGAAATATATTTGGCTTTCAATGTTTGCAACATGTCCTGGAAAGTACTGGCGATTGATTGTTACCTTAACTAATTATTACCTTACATCCCTTCCTTGTTTTGCTACAAACTATTACATTTTTAGGGACATCAACAGATACACTTGATCACAGAGAATAACCTCAAAGAAGACATCCAGACAGGATGTACAGCAGAGAGAAAAGCACAAAAGTGCTCTGCAAAGCACTCAGGTCACCAAATGGAAAAGCCTCCCTGTCTGCGTGTTCTGCACATGTCACAGAAGAATGCTTTGAGCTGCAGCCAGTAACAGCTACTTTTCAACTGCATCATTTAAATAGCCCCATTAGGATCTTTCTGCAAATTACATCCCCAAGATAAAGAGGATTTTTTTTAATCAAGTGTAGATAGAAGGTTATCGTGTAAAAATGATCTTGTCACTGTAGGTTTGTGGTTTGTTTCTTTTACATCATAGAACTTTTTGGTTACTTTTTTTCCTTGTTTTCCCTCTAAGCTGGTGATTTTAATTCCAGGTACAGGAAAAATGTTTAATTTTTCCTTTTAGAAAGAGAGCCAACAAGAGCTGTCAAAGCCTTGTTGGTTTGAGTAGAGGTTTAAAAAGCTTACCGTAACAAGATTTATGACATTTTCTAACTTTAAGCAAAAAATGTTTTCCTTATTATTCTATTTTATATACTAAGTTGTTCCTAGGCTGGAAACATCATCAGCCGTCAATGAGCAAGGTGAATCTTGGCCAGATTAACGTGATATCAAAAGGGAACGCAGACAGAAATGAGACAATAGGACTGCGAGGAAGCAAGAGTACCTAGAGAAAAGCCACTCATCCAAATGGAGAACACACAAACGCTACACATTAAGAGTCTACATAGAATTTGAAACCAGGTTGAGACATAAATGTTTGTTGAGAATTGGAGCATTAATCTATCCAGCCACAGGTTCCCAAAATGTCAGAAATATTGTCTCAGTTATCCTTTTCTTTCTGCCATGGTCATAAACTTTGGTTTCTGTGTCTGTAATTGTGCCAGTGTTGTCTGGCTGGGGGTGTAATGTGTGATTAGGCATGTAGAAAAGGATCTGGTGAGACATCTCACATCTTGGGGGCGTCGTAATGGGGGATTGACAACTGGTTGATAAACAGAGTCCACCTGGCTGAGATCTGAAGCCCTTCGCACAGTCATGGTTTACAGATCAAAGGAGCAAATCCCTTCAGCCAATCGCATACTCCACATCCTACGCCTTCTCCTCTCTAAACTCCTCAAAGTGCTTCAACTCTCAAAGTGTTTGACAGTTTGCAAAATCCTCTCAATGAAACACTTCTCACCCTTGCTCCATTGGACGCCTGTAGTACCTGTTTCGCCTGATTCCAATGGCGAACCCTGAAACCCCGATTGTGGGATTTTCCAACTCATTAGCTCTGCTCAGTCAAGTGGAGCCGGCTGCAGATTCCTTCCAGCCCAGGTTCATCAACATGGCCTGTGGCTCCCACTGCGAGGCGATAAGAGAAAGGAAGGTTCAGCCATTAGACACTGCTGCGATTTTGTTTGGTGTGAAATCAGATGAGAAGGGGGAGGACGAGGCTAGAAGATGGGAGTGCTAATCAGAGGTCGCAGATGGGTTGGGATGCGGTCGGATGTGGGCAGCAATGCAGCACCTCGCCTTAATGTGGTGCAGAGTATTAGCACAGCTTAGCAATGTAGTTACAGGAGTGTTAACGCCTGTCAGTTACATGGCTATTGGTCTTTGCAACAGGTGTCTGTTTGACCTGATGCTCTCTCAGGATTTGTTTACACAAGATCGCTGTCTGGAAGCTGCTGATATTTTTGGATTGTTGATTGGGGAAAAGTTTCATATTTGGATGGCATTGTGTCGAAATCATCAAAACACATTGAATCCAGTGTAGATGTCATGCCAGGGTGGATTTAGCATGATCTTCTTTGCCTCAGTATCTGCATAAAACACAAAGTCCATCTCTGTTGAACTTTGCACACACAATATGATATAATATGATTTTTTTTCTGACATCTGCCTGTGCATGCGTAGAACAAACCTGCAGCCTTTCATCGTGTGCATGTGGGCTGGAGATGTTCCTGAAAAGTTCCACTGGTTTCAAGAAGTATCAGATCTTTCAATCACTGAGGAAGTGCAAACAAGCAGCTGGATCACTACAAAAATCCTATCACTTCCCTGAAAACCAACTTGGTGTAATTGGAGCCTTGGTTTTCTCGGTTTTCCTTTATGGTTCTCAAGATGTTTGGCCAAAGCATTCATAGCATGATTGGTAATATAATGTAACTTTCTCTCAGGAATAAGACAGAAATCCTGAATATTCTACCACTAATGATCTAACTTTCCAATACATTTGTTGTATATATGCTAAATAAATATTGGGGCGGCAAAATAGGGTGCTTTCACAAGGTTCTCTTGATTTTTAACAACAAAAACTTACTGTAAATACATCCACTCTGTCCAGATATGAGTGCCTTATAAAATAATTGTTAGAACCACAAACTTCAATGAGATGCTAACATGACAGGTCATTAAAAATCATGGAAGCAAACAGTTACATGAGATATAGTCAAATTTCAGCCATCAGAAGAAACGTTGGCGTCTGAGTCAGGTGTTGGAGTGACATTCCCCTTACACCCTTGTAAAAGCTGTCGTTGGTGATTTTACAGAAGAACTATAGATTCAATACATTTAAATAACAAACAACTTTTTATAAACTGTCTGATGCTGTGAGAACTTTGGTGGAACCAACTGCACGTTGTCATAAAAACAAAAATAAACCATAAACTTTCTACTACTTCCTATCGCCTTCTTTGTTGTGTTTGCCTGTAGTAATATCCAGCCGTTGATCATGTGTGATGCAAAAAGAGTTTTTCCATTGTAGTTTTGCGAAAAACATCTATTTTGAAAAACCATCTCACAAAAAACATTTTATCAAAAAACATGAGCGTTTTCCAAACTGGCACGTTTCCATTCAGCAAATTTATTTTCTGCATTTTAATTTGCACTATTTTATGGCTAATGGAAATGAGGTTACTGTCATCCAAACCTCATGTCTCAAATCTTCTCTAAAAGGTCTTATTCCAGCGTCAGCCTCTATTTAGCTCCTTTCACCTTCCCTTAAACTCTTACCGTCTTCTTGGAACTAAGCACTTTCCATTTAAAGTTAAACAAGTTTACGTTTTTGTAAGATCAATGTTTTAAATCTGCAGGACAGAAGTGAGTCAGCCCGGTCTCTTTAGTTAGAATTTGTTAAAGCTCTTGAGCTTTTAAAGGACTCGCTGAGAGAAACTTGGCAAATATCTCTGAAAAGACTTTGTCCAGCAATGTGTTACTGAAAACCTGACCTGATCAGTAAGTGCTAAACTCTAAGTAGTATCTGGATTAGATTCCAGGACTCATTAGTTAAACTATCTTCATTTGAATGTTTTTCCAAAATTACCAAATAAAAAAGATTTAAGTGGTATTTAACAAATGTATGGGTCCTTGTGGAAGAAGCTCGTGATTTTCTTTTTTTTTTTTTTTCTTGGTTAAAGCCTTTGATGTTGTTCATGTATTTTCTACTTTTTCTGGATGTTTTTGTTATAAATAACAAAAGGGACTTTACATGGCCTCTTAAAAGAAGCAGATTAGGTACAGATGAGTCAGGCTGGATTCAGAGTACCTCAAATGATAATGTCATATTATCTAACTCTGGAACATAATGATGATCCTCTACAACATTGTGAATCTAGGCAGGATGCATAATGGTGTAATCCTGAAGAGCTTGCTCTCTCTGTGTGTGCGAAGAGTTATTTATTTTTTTATTTGTTCCTACTGAGCCTCACAAGGAACATTGAGAAAATGCATAAAAAAGTAAACTCACACTTGCAAAATCATGCAAATCTTCACAATATCGAGTTGCCTTTGCTTGATGTGTTACTTCGGTCTGCAATTCTATTTTGACACAGTTATCACCAAGGCGAAGTTTACGTTTTGAAGAACTAAATATATGATACCAAATCAGCTACTTATGGTGACATGCACCTAATTAATTAGTCTAATTAGGTGAAACATCTCAGCAGAAAACACAGCACAGACCTTAGTAACACCTGCTAAACTGTCCTGATTGCTGCAGATGGGCCTTAATGAATCCAACCAAACCTCCGACGTCAGAGTAGAGTTTGCATTGAATGAGTCTTTGTGTGCTAAAAACTCTCTTGAGATTTCACTCACTCATATGAAAACAGCATCTTCTGCCAACCACTGATATAATGTGTTTATAGTTTAGGCCAAACTCAGAATAAAAATCTATAAATTTCACTCATGGGTGTGTTTTCTCCATTGCTGTGGTTGTATTATACGTCTCATAATTTACCATAATTACATGTTAAACATTTTTGCGTGATCTCGTAAAAAACTTGCTAAACTTTTTCAGGATCTTGTGAAAGCAAAGTCACGATGTTTTTTTTTTTTTTCTCTCCTTGTGACTCAGTTCCTTTTCTCACTCCTGAATCCTGCAGGTTTGGCTAACCGGTTGTACTAACTGGACCCTAGAAGCAAATCTGAATGTTACAGAAGTCTTTATGCACTTAAGGTATATTTCACAAAGATTACTACAAGATTACTACACTTTCATACTCAAGGGATTTAAATGGTGCTGGATGGTTGAAAGGCAGAGGAATACCAATTGGAACTAAAGGTGAGAAGAAAAAAGAAATGTTGAGTGTTGACATGAATGCAGTAATGTCTGTTAAGTGCTCAGTACATAACCCAATATGTCTTATTGCTGATTAATATGTTCCATTACAGATTCTCAATTTGAGTCTGGTCTATTCTTTAACTAGGCCATTCGGATAAATGAACACACACTGATCAAAATTGCTCCATCATAGGTCCAGTTGCCATGTGGTTTCCATTACGTATCTCTGAAGCTCTTCTTGGCTGGTCTGTAATTTTAGAAGGGCAACCATGCTCTTTTTATTTTTGAATTATGTATTGATCTGTGCTTCATGAGACATTTAGTGCTTAGGATGTTACTTTAACATAAGTTAAATGTTTGTAAATTAACTTCACACTGTTAATGAGCGACAGGGTTAAAATACGGTTGAATTATTCTGAAGCAAAAAAAAAAAAATCCTTGAAAATGGGCTACAGTCATGAAAACACAGACAGATAGAGGTGGGTCATCTTGTTCTATTTAGGCTGATTCCCTACAATTTAGCTCAGTGTTTTCCAGAAGAGAATCCACTACATGTGGCGAACCACCAGCAGGCAGTGTGCAACATGCAGGACAGAGGATAGTTAGATACCTTCTCTGCCACAGGCGGCTCATTAGAGGATAATTATTCACAGATCCCCATTGTCTAAACAAAAATGTCTCTTTCCTCCCTGAAATTACTGTTTGACTTTGTACTTCACCTTGGGGCTGTCCTTATTTTTAAGTATGACTCTGTTCTGGACTTTTTGTGTATTTTCTTAGTTTAGAGGAAATTGGGTTTGTCAGCGTGGAGAAAATTAAGTCTTTTTCATTACTTTTTTTATCTCTGGTATTTTGGCTAAATACTCTGACTAACACAAGACAATTGTCAGGTGACATGACATTTCTTGTGGAAATTTAAAAAATGTTCTAAGTTGGTTTTTGATGCATTTTTTAAACAACCCTTTGTTGCCACTTTTAACATACAAAGTTTCTACCAGTGAACACTTTCAGGGGAAACTCATCCCTTTCCTTTGCTCAGTCAGTCTCATTATATAATACGTCTACATCTGATCTGCACACTGTTGTGGCTTTTCAGTATTTGGGTTTCCAGTATTCAGCAGAGCCAGTCAACTAAAAACAGTGCAGAAGTCATGACATTGTTGAACTCAGGCCAGTCTCAGTCTAGTGCACTTGTACAAATTATTATTTTTTATTATATTCCTAACAGGGTGTGTGACAAGGAAGAAAACAACGTTCATGTTGTTTAACAATCGATGTTATTTTAAAACCTAAGGTACATGTAAGAGCAAGAGACTGATGTGAAAAGTTATTTACTTCTTGCTCCAGTTTTGGTTTCGTATAATGTCGTGTATAATATTTTTATTTCACAGATTCAGTAAATAATTTGATTAAAATATTAACAGAAGTCCTCTTGATCGTCACCATTCCCATATTTATCAACTTCCTTTAACCATCTAAATTCTAGAATGATATATTTTCATCATTTAACATACTCTAACTAATTAACTACGGAAGAAAATACTAAATAGTGTGTTTAATATGTGCCTTTAATTTTGCTAGGAAACTTTATAGTGTAAGAAACCTTTGAGTTGTTTTAGATGTTGTCATGCATGTTGGTCCAAAGTGTCATTCTTGGTGGGTGTTCCTTCAGTAATGAGGTTCTCTGAAATAAAATCCCCGTTCTTGTAAAACAGACCTCAGTAATCAAACAAGATCATTTTAATTAAAGACATATTTGCACAGATTAAAAGACAGAATTTCAGATTTGAAAAGAAAAATGCCACTTTGTAATTCTGAAGAACAAAGCGGTTTTCCATGTGCAATTTAGGGAGTGTGTCGACTTTAATCATGATTTCATTCTCAAATTGTATTTGACAATCAGAGTAAGCATTTGCTAAGTAGAAAGACTGCAAACGTCTTTATAGAGTTTGGTGGAAAGCATAATCAAAAGCCGTATGCCTAGCCAAAAATGTGCAACACCAGCTTTATTCCTAATTCTTTGTGTAGAAACAAGCATTTACTCAAGTTAGGAAAACATCAGAAAGATTGGGGAATGACATACAAAATGCAAAACATAAATAATTATCAACAAAAATGATTTGTTATTTAATTAATTTGTGAGGATGATGATGTACTTAAGCAAAGAGAAGGGACTTTCAAAAGTTATTTTTAGGAAATCTATACCAAGAAACTGACAGGCTCAGTGAACAGTTTGGGTCTCAGTCTGATTAAAAACTCATAGACTGTGACGGGGCTGTAGACTCAAATTTATCTCCCCGTTTTTTTTTTTGTTTTTGTTTGTTTGTTTGGTTTTTACAAGCATCTCACAGTTTCACAGCTGCTGGGATGTCCACTCCCAAGAAAATTGACAACTGTCCTAAATGTTTTCCACTTGTGGCTAATTTTTCACTTTAGAACTGTAGACTTTGACTAGGTCACGCACTTATGCACACTTCAGAATTCCTGTTATTGAAAGAGAAAGATAATGTAAACAAGTTGCTGTTTTTTAGACCAGGACACTGAGTATTCATGAGATGACGGATCATGATAGAAAGAAACAGATTCTGGAAACGTAGATAAAATCAACTTCCTCCTTAGGGTTCACTCAGCCTTAGTGATAGGCTTGAGGTGGATACTTGGACTACAGCCTTTGTAGCTCCATTAAAGAAAAATCAGTTGAGATGGTTTGAGGATCTGAACAGAATGCCTCCAAAACGGAATTGGATGATTGTTTTAGGACATATCCTATTGGAAGAAGATCATGAGTTATGTCCAGAACCCTGGAAAGGTGTTGGGATCCTCCATAATAAGCAATGAATGGTTCAATGGAGAGGTGAGATAATCTAAAATATATTTTCTTTGGATGCAACACAATCACTGTTGAGGCAATTCTTAAACTCCCATCTTTTTATCCTAGAGTTGACATTGATCATTGCTCTTCTTGCTTTTGTAAAAGTTACACGAGCCCAGGCGCCTACACATATGAGGTCATGATTGTGAAGTGTTTCGTTCCCAGGCAGTCGCACCAAAGCTGGCTGTAACCATAGCAGCAAACACATGAGGTAGTGGAGATTGTCCATGACTGACTGTTGCTTGGCTTTTTATCTTGAGCTCTGGCTGACAGGTGGTTCAGCTTTGGTCCGTCAGCCTGCAGGGAAGGAAAGTCGGAGCTATTTTTGTCTTGGTGACAACAGACTTTGACATGCGGCAGTTGATGGATGAGTGATAGTCTGATTGTGGAAAGCATTTAGCCAGACCTGGTCATCTCCTTCTACAATGGACCTGAAGCTCCACTTCCTTCCCCTCTCGCTCCGTGTTGCACCTCAGTTGAGACTGGGAACAATTTTGGGGGCATTTGTTTTTAATCTTTATAGGAACACTTTATTTTTTGTGTTCTCCCATGAAACAAAAGGACTGTCTGCTTTCCATTTCTTTTTTGGTTTGAAGTGTTGGTAACACTTTATTTGAAGGGGGCTGAATAAGACTGACATGACACTGTCATAAAAAACCTGTCGTGAACATGAATAAGCCTTCATGAATATTTATGACTGTTGTCATAAAGTGTCATTCGGTAAATTATGTCACTTTTAATACAAAGTTGACATTATTCAAAATCTCTTTGTTATGACAACTTGACATTAACCAAGAAATCATTACTGATCTAAATTTGTTATGAAAGTATTATTGATTATACTTTAAAAAATAGGT